TTCTAGAAGGTCTACAGCTAAGCTTCCGGAACTCACTAAGACTTCTACACTATAGACCTACAGATCGAACCCCTGCTGCCTATGGACCTACGACAGACCTACCAACTATCTGCGAATACACAGGTCACAGGTTCAATTCTCGGGATCTATACAGATACTGTACATAGGTAGGGTGAGGTCTAGGGATCGAACCCTGGGTACTGCATCCGCTACTGCTAAAAGGTGAAAACCGTTTCACTGGTGTTTTCAGGGGAAAAAAAAGAAAAAGAAAAAAAACTAAGGGCCTCCATATGCATCATGTATGAATAGAGGAAATTCTAGCAGCTTCACTGCATGTGGAGCTGATAATGGTCCCAATGCGTTCAAACTTCAAAATGTTCGATCAGTCCTATTGTATTGTACCTGTTCGGAAAACAGTCCAGACACGTGTCAAATTTTGAGTAGTGGAGCGAGCCCCTAAATGTCTGTAAGATGGACACGTGCTTGTGCAGGGAAGAGGATGAAGCGTCGAAAAGAGTTCCTTCCGTGGCGTACACGTATCAACATCCTATTGGATATAGCTGAAGGAATTGATTATCTTCATAATCATGCAAATCCTCCAGGTGAGACAGTGAACCTTTGACAACAAAGTTGGGTGAACCCTGAGTCTTCTCTCTCTTTTTTTTTTTTTTCTTTTTTTTTCCTAATTTAAACACCAAAAGCCTCTTTCTATTTTGGGGGGCATCAGTCCGGTTGCTTATTACTGGCAAGCATAAAAAAGGGCCTTCCAATGGTGTCAAAAAAAAAACATGGTTGCCAACCGGACGTCCGGATCGGGATCCCGACAGTCCGGTGTCCGGTGTCCGGTGTCCGATGTCCGATGTCCGATGTCCGGTCTGGGGTCCGGTGTCTGGGTCCGCTGTCCGGTTTGGAGGGTCCAGTTGGACCCTGACGTGAAGAAATTCGAAAAGAAAATTGGGGGTCCCCAGGCCATTTTCCTGGGCCTGGGGTACCCCGGAAAATTGTTGCTGTAGTTTTTTGAAGACCGTCACCCCAACCGGACCGGCCCTGAAGGGCCCCTCCGCTGCTGGAGAACTTCGGAGGGAAGTAGCAGCCGGAGCATCCTGTGAAGAACTTATTTCGGAAGTTCCAAACTTTGAAGTTCGTACGTTAATATTTCCAATTTTATTCGGAGCACATGTTGGACAAGTCCCACAAACCTGTGTGTGTCTGTGTTCGTGACATGTGTGCCGTTTTTTTTTTTTTTTTTTTTTTTTTTTTTT